TTTGAGATTAGCTTTCAACAAATACCATCAACTGTCTGTTTCAGAGGATTTCCTTTGAATCAGATTTTATAGTAGGCTTTTTCCAATAATCAGTTGTACCTTTGCTAGTACATAGTTTTTTTTTTTTTTTAAAGAGAAAAATTGACAGTTAGGACTTTTTCGATACCGAAAAATATTAAAATAAACGTAAAATATAGAAATCTAAAATAAGAAATAGATACATTTAAGGTCCTTCTGTCTCGCTAAACATCCGGTATTTCTATTGGATCATATTGAATTTTTGATCAGCCGGAAACACACAAGATTTTCTTGGCAAGTTTGGCCATTGTATTTCAGACCTAGAGAAGAGATGAAAAGTATACCACCAGCGTGGGACGTGGATGATACCTGTGGTGACCATATGTGGTCTCCGTAAGTTGTGGCTGCAAACAGTCCCACCAGGGCTCATAAACCTTTATTTCATCCATGGTTTTCATGAACCGTAGATTAGATTAGATTTAGGAGAGCAGGCCACTTAATCACCGTGATAGAGAACGATGTATTTTAACCAGGGACCGAACATAACAGTTATTGATGAAAACTGTCATGGAAAAATTCACTATGAAGGAAATGTTCTACAACTAAGTGAAGCGTACCAATCGATTTCGTTTTGCACCTAGACTCAAATTTGAAAATAAATTTTTATTTGCAAAATAACAATTATTTTTGATTTTTATATTATATGGCTTAGATAACAGTTATTGAAGAGTTTTATTTATAAAAGTCATCAATAAAAATCAGTCAGTGACTTTTACTTTTAAAAGTCATTAATATAAATCAGTCACCGACTTTAATTTTTTAAATCAATCGTATAAAAGTCATTAACATTTTTCGCAGTTAAGAAGGTCTTGGAAAACAAAAGTTTACTACGACTTATTCAAATGACTTTTATAAGTATGATTGAAAAAATAGAGATCAGTGACTGATATTTATTTATGACTTTTATAAATAAAAGTATTCGATAACTGTTATTTAAGACATATAATTTAAAAATCAAAAATAACTGTTATTTGCAGATTATTTAAATAAAAATCAAAAATAATTGATATTTTCGACTTATAAAATAAAAGTCAGAAATAACGGTTATTTAAAGAGTAATTAAATTAAAGTCAAAAAATAATGTTAAAGAGTGATTTTTGTAATAAAAATTGTAACTGTTACGGTCCCTGATTTTAACTAACCTATTTCATTAACAAACCTCGCGAGTTCCCTCGACTGAATGCCATTTATGTCATGTGCTTCTAGATATGGTAAGTCTAGGAAGCGAAATCTGATTCAGGTAAAAGCTTTGCAGTGGTACTCTACAATGGTCAGTATGAAGGCCCTTCACAATTCTTACATCGTGCCTGATAAGATGAAGAAGGGCTTTATTTCTCCTTGCTGATACTTAGCCTGTCTATTACCTTCCGTATTCGTCCAGTAAAGTACCTACTAATTCGGTCGCTTCAAAGGCTCGTGCTTCGCGAATTTATCAGGCAGTCTTCGACTCTGAATTCCTCGTCAGCTAAGTTCAGGCTTATTCCATTAAGCAGTAGAATTCATCCTAAAAAAATGTTACCAGATTCACAATTTAACTGTAAATTACAGTTTTTAGACAAGCTAGCACTTGTTTAAATAACCTTCTAGTATAAATTACAGTTTTTTCGAAATTTCAGATTTGAACGAATAAATTAAAATTTCTCTTTAGGTGTTTTTGTAAGTCAAATTATAAGATAGAAGGGCACAAGAAAGGAGCAACGTTTCCTGACTTGAAACAAATGTTTTCAGCTGTCCTTTGCATTCCGGTCGCCACAGCAAATGCAGAAAAAATATTTGCCCAACAAAAATTAAAAAGAAGCAATTTACGAAAAAAATGAAACTGAATTTCATTAAAAGAATTTATTAAAATTTGACATTTTATAAAGTCTATTTTTGTTAAATTAAGTATAATTTAGAAGCTTTATTTATTTATTTATTCAATTATGTTTAATAACATTATCAAATCTTTTTTTTAACTCTTCTTATTTGAAGGTTGCAGTTGTTTGTTCGAAAATACAGTTTTTTTTCGGAAACTTACAGTTTGTAGAAAAAAAAATCTGGCAACATTGGCCTCAAATTACATTCGGCCACAATCTTTGAAGGAGTTTAAGCGGTTTCCGAGTTCCCATTGAAAAGCCATTATCATTGTATCTTAAGCAGAAAAGCATCTGAAGTAACCCTCCAGATACTAGCCGGTTCCAGTTGCATTTTCAGTCCCAGAGCAGTCAATATAAGAAGAACGCTTTTATCGTGGTCCCCAAGTGAGTATCTTCTGTCTGTTTAGCATAGTAACTATGGTATTGGCCATAGTTCTACGCCTTCATACTACAACAGAGAACGTGGCCTGTCTGACTAAAGCAGTGTGTACCCGATGTACCACCGCTGGTCTCAGACCCGGAGTTTTACTCCAGATTCTCTGACATTGTCAAATTTTATGGTATACATATGTACATACTACTTATTTATGCACCAAATGATCGAACAAGTGCTAGCTGAGTTGTTTAATCGAAATTAAGGCGGCTTTGAACTTTGAAGATCGTCAACGGATATCTATACATATTTATGCATGCATACTTATTCATACTCATATGTTTGCACTTGAATAAATTAGCATGTAATTTCCTTTGAGGCTCACAAATTCACAAAAGACACATTACACTTGTTTAAAATTTGCATTCACATGTAAATATCTAATTATAGTGGACACTTTTCGGTTTTAAGTTTGTCAAATCGTATATTAGATTCAAAAAAGCAATTGCTGACATTTCAAAGCATAACTCCATTAGATTGATGTTGATGATTTGAATGGATATCAGGTGTTATACACATAATACAATTAACAATGCAATCTTTAGCGAGCTCTCAAAACTGAACAAATCCCAATTTTCTTTACCCGTTTGTTTTCTAACTGGTCATTGATTGATCGGAATCCATGTACTATAGCTGAAAATCAACTCATTCCGCTTCTGTAGCAGCTGCATGGGGGGATTATGGGGTGGCATCATCTCAACGACTGTTACTCAGCTGTCAAGGTTTTGCACGCTTAAGCTTTAAGCATTTTGGTTCTTACTTATTTTTCAGATTGGATGTGCTTTCGGGCGTAGAGATTAGCAGCTTGCAGAGCTTTGTTGCTTCTCATCTGATTGCATTGAAATTCTGTTGAGTTATTGCCAGGATAACCAAAATTGTAATGTACACTTAAAACATTTTTTCGAAAATTTCCGAATAAAACGCTATAAGTCACGAAAAATACCGAAATATTTAGAAAATGTTGAGAAAATTCTAAAAAAAAATCTAGAAAATCTTAAGTCTTTAATTAACGAGTACATTTAATCGAAAAAAAATTTAAAGTGTATGTACTTCGATGTATTATGGCCGAAAAATTCAAAAAGGTTTGAATACAAGTAAATTTTCCGAATTATGAAATTAAATACAATCAAAATATTAAAGACCATTTAGTAAGCATTATTTACAAAAATTAAAATAAAAAGTAGTTTTTACTAGGCACCTTTACACCTGCTGCTGTCCCTAATGAATTTCAGAACAATTTTACACCTGGTTTTTGTTGAACTTATCCGAATTATAAATCAATTACTATGGAGAAACCAGTTGGATCATATGAAAAATATCGAACTCTAGTGAAAGCTCCACTGCGAACTTACGAGCGTATTTGCAAATGCATTGCGGAAAGAGACAACGACTCTGACAATGGTTCAAGTCTTTCCAGTGATTTTGATACTCAAGCAAAAAGTAGACAAGGCAGGGATTATAAATTAGAAATGAATTGGAGAAGCAAAGTTGCGAAAAATTTCCATATTTGTTTAAACTTCCCAGAAGAGATACCCCCTCTTCAAAATTGGTTCATTTAAAAAATCTATTTTAATGTCCAACATGGCGAAAAACTTTTCAAAAATCTATTCAATTCGCTGGAAACTTGTTTTTTTGGGGTCAATGATTATGACTCCTTTAAAATTCAAAATGGAAATTTTTGTTTTTAATTTATTGAACTCGCCTTTAGGATCCGGCATTTTGAGTGAAAAACAATTAGTTATCAAACTAGTAAGCACTGGTCCCAAAACCCCGAGTAACAAATTTTAAGTAAATCCAATAATTTTTCAAAACTTTGTCCGCCATCCTGAATCCGATATATTGAATTTCAAAAACCGCCACTCATCATTTAAAAGTTAATATTTTTAGCGAATTTTCAAAAAACATAAGCGATTTTTTAACTGAGTAACAAATATCAAGTGAATTCAATTATTTTCGAAAACTTTATCCGCCATATTGGATTAAAAGTTACCATTTTTCCCGAATTTTCAAGAATTAATTATTAAGCTAATATATTTACCGATTTTTCAAGTATATAACCGATTTTTTTAATTGAATTAATTTTGGGGCGAGGATAAATGAATGTTCATAAATTTATGCCCCATTGTGGATCCGCCATTTAAAATTCTAGAAAATTTATTATCGTATTGGCAATCAACGGCCCTAAAAACATCCGAGTAACAAATTTCAAGTGAATCCAATCATTTTTCAAAACTTGGTCCGTCATATTGGATTTCCAAAAAAAACGCCACTCATCATTTAAAAGTAAATATTTTTATCGAATTTTCAACATTGTAACCGATTTTGTTTTTAACGCATCCAATTTTGGAGCTTCATTTCACGAAGAATGCCTTATCAATTATTGATTTGTCCCATTTAAGGGAGTACCCGTCGACTTTAGATACATATTTCGATAAAAACATTTTAACTACGCCAACATTGCTTAAAATTTCTAGAAAATAGGCAGCTATTAAATTTGTGAGTAAGATCCGTTACTTTTAATACGCCCTGAATTTTATCTGTTTTTTTCTTTTATTTTATTATATTTTCTTTTTTCATTTTACATTTTTATTCATTTTACATTTCTATTAATTTTATCACACATGCTTCCTCACCCTTTTTAAATTTGACAGAGTAAGTTCCGATGATCCAATTTATTTGTGTAAAAAATTTGGCGTCTTCACTTTAGTCAAATCCTTCCAGCTTCCAATTTTGTATACCTTAGCTAATATTCAAGGCATGCGCCAACACTCTTCCTTTCGGAAATCAAATCAAGCAACACTCAGACGCGATTATTTTCACGCAATTCTCACTTCGGCACATTTGTTTATAATGATTGGTCCTTCACCTTGAACGTAAGCTCGTAAAGAGCAACCAATAATTCACTTTTGTAGACGATATTTAAAACACGTGATCGCGTTGCTAAGAACGCTACTAAGAATTATTTCGGTTCGAATTGGTAAGCAAACTGACAAACCACAACGGTCAACGTTTCAACGAAGACTAGCCAAGCTAAAGATCGCTAACAGGCAATAGCATTCTTCTAAGCTTCGTAGCGCACGATCAATAACACCAACAGCAGCAGCCAACCAAGTAACCGCAAAGAGAACTTAGCCAGGCTAATAATTTCGCTCTTGACTAACTACAATATATATAAACAGATGTATGTATGTTCGGATGTACGTATGTATGTATGTATGTAGTAAAAAGCCTACACACAGGTACCTGATGTGTGCCTCATAGTGTGTAATTTAAATCGAGCTAAACGTATCACACTGCTCCATTGATGTTGCTGTGAGTAGCGTGTGAGCAACACGATCACCTCAGGAGTAGCAGCAGCAGCAGCAGCAACACAAAACCAGCAGAAAGTGAGTTGCCAGTAATACTACGCCCACGTCGAAACATTGCTTACGACTTTGTTACATATTTAGTGAGTGAATTCGTATGCGCTGGTTGCAGGGATTTTACGTGCTTGTATGTATGTCGGCAGTAGTGTTTTTCCAGTGCCACTATACACCTCAGATATGTTGCAGAATACAAACTAAAATTCAAGTACACTGAGCCAAAAGCACAATGGTTATTTTAACCAAGTTATGGTTTGATTTTTCTTTTCATGGTTAATACGCCGATTGTAAGCAATGTGATTCATGTTGAACATTTGATAACAAATTCGTATGTATGGCATTGGCTGAACGTGCAGAGGTGCTTGCTTTTATTTGTTGGCTTCCAGCAGTACGAATGCCGTCAGAGGGTTACATAATTTTTATTTATTTTTCTGTTTTTGGTTTTTCTTAATTACGAAAAAGCCTCTGTGAATTGCATAACCAAATCAAACGACGAAGAAAATTGATACAAGTTAAACATTTGAAGGTAGATTTATGTATAAAGCGGCTGTAGCTGAGTGTGCAGAGATGTATGCTTTTGTTCAAATCTCGTCAGAGGCAACTTGTTAAAATTATAATAAAAAATTTTGTTTTGTATCTCCGAGTTATGAAAAAGCACCTGTGAAGGGCAGAACGAATTCAAACGAAAAAATCTACAACCAAAAGTTTGGTTAATGTAAACAAAAGTGTGGTGTGTGGTTATTATTACCAGAGCATTGTTGAAAATCTCAACCAAGACATTGTTAATATTAACCAAAAATCAAGTTTGAATTTGGTAATATTAACCAATTTTTTTCGTGTATTTTTTCTCAGTGTAAGATTAATTCGCTTTCAGTTAGATTGATGATTGCCTGGAGGAATGATGAACTAGCAATATTACATCATGCCCTCCTATCAAATCTAATTTCTAAAACAAACTCCTTATTCGTTGATAGTAGCATTTGACGGTAGCTACTTGCCAACAAGCAAGCTTTTTCAAGACTTTGGCTGGTTAATGTAAAAGTTAAGACACATATTTCTTTTTTTTATTTCCAGACCTGACAAATCCAACCAGGTTTTTACTCACATGAAGTCATGTGGTACAGCAGCAGCCTCTAAAATAGAGGTCCGTCCAGAGTTGAAGTAAGATTGTACTATCAGGAAGCTTCCGTTAACTTAAAGTTTAGGCTTCCGGATTTTTGAAGCGCATTTGAAGCAGCTGCGGCTGCTATAAAGGAGACTGTGAAATGGCTACGTAATACAGTTTAAAAGGCTTCATACCAACTCTGATAGCCAAGCGGAAATCAGGTAATCTCTAGCATAGCTTATGGTACGATCACAACTGGTAGCCTAAGATCACTTCCATGCCGACTAGGGTTCCAGGGCACAGTGACATAGTAGTAAACTGCGCGGCTGCTGAATTGGCTTCGCGGGGCACCCTCGAGGCTACATCTCCTGACGGGGGAGTATATAGCAGTTCGTGTAGCCACCTCCAGACCACTCTTTAATAGATGGACCTTTAGTCGATTCAACGAGAGTTGGGCGAAAAACCCGACAAATTTTCAAAGTCCTCCTAGGCTGTCGTCGACCGGCTGAGTGCAAACTCTCGGCCATAATAGAAGTCCTAATTGGACAATGCTTTCTCAAGCCTAAGATTCGAACATTTAAACGCTAACAACTTCATTTCCTGCAGTTTGTGTGCTAGAAAAATGTCTATTAAGTTGTAATACAATGGACCAAACATAAAATGTCTAAGTGAGTTTTTATAGGATGGTCCCTAGCTACCAGTATAAATAAAATCGAAAAAAGTCAGCGTGGTCCTTCCATTATGTCCATGGGCGGTTTTTCCTTCTCTGTCTTACCATCGTCGCCGAGTCGAAGGTTGTATTTTTATGCCCTAAACTATGTCCATGTCGTTTAAAAGCTCGTACGGTTCGTTAGTCCATTTCCTTCGGTACCCGTCGCCATAGGCCATAGGATAGTAGCCTAGAATAGCTCTCTGAATAGACCTCAAAGCCCTCTCATCTTTGTTCAACATCTTCCATGTTTCTGCGCTATTTAAAAGAACGGGCATGGTTAGAGATTTGTAGAGCGTAATTTTTGTTTGTCGTGAATGGCTCTGTTTTTCAGTTGCCTACCGAGCCCAAAGTAGCACCTGTTGGCGAGAGTTATTCTTCACTGGACCTCTGGGCTGACAAGTAACCTAGGTAGAGAAAGTGCTACACAACTTCAATGGCAAAAGGCGAGCACCTTTTTTGTGTTGCCAGGAGGCACTTTGTCTTCTCCTCGTTCTCCACTAGATCTACCTCGTTCGTTTCTTTTTCTGAACTGGAAAATGCTGTGCGGACGCCAGTGGGTATCAGGCCGACGTTGTCTATATCATTTTCATACGTCAGCAGCCCCCGTTTTCATATTATTATTTTTTTTTTCTTGTTTAAAATTAAATAGATTCTCCAAAACTAACATCGTTATCAGTTTCCATGCTGACACGTAAGTAAACAAGTAAACAGATTAAGTTTATAAATCCAAATATGTATGCGCCAACAACACCTTTACATGATTGTTAACATATTCCAGTTTTAGACGATGCCTCAGGATGCTATCAAAGCTATCAAAGACGAAACTATGCATTGGATTTCAATTCGATTAGAAATAACTTAATTACATTTATCGATTTTTTTTTCGTATTTTATTATGAATAAATTAAATTAAGTTCAAGCTTAAACTAAACATCTCCAGCAAACAGCTACTACAATACAGGCATGCATACGTACATACATACAAATGTATGTATGTACTTCTTAACACTACATACTTAATTAGCATAACTCAGTAGGCATCTTCAGCAGCATATCCAATAACAGTGAATATCTGTATTTACATAATTTCCTTAACCCGCAACTAGCATGCAAACAATATAATTAAGTTTGAGCAAAAGTATAATTAGCGGTCATATAAAAGAGACCCTATGCATACATGGCTGCCCAATCGAATGGACGACGGCACTTCGATTAAACATTTCTTATTTACATACATACATTGAAGGTACAAAATAACTTAATTACACACAAATGTGCGAGTAAAATTTTCCCCTTTTTCTTTGGTTATTAGCAAACTCAGTTTTTCAGTCATAAGAGTACATATCACGTGCTCAGGTTACTTGTTGCGTCTTGGTAGTATTCGCTAGATCAATGGGGTCACTGAAAATAAAATTGAAAAGGAGGATAAAGAATGTTTTCAGTTTAATAAAATTTTTATAAAAAAAAAAAGTTGTGTGTGGATCCACTGTGTGACTGAAGTCAAAATTCTTCTTCTATTACGTTGCATTGAAAAATTATCTTAAACTTTATTTTAATGTACCTAAATGTCAATCTCAATTTCAATTTATATCTCAATCTTAATCTTAATCCTAATTCTAATCCTAAACTTAACCTTAACCTTAATCCTAAAATTAATCTTAATTTTAATTTTAATTTTAACCTTAATTTTAATCATAATTTTTATATGGCTCTTGATCTTAATTTCATTCTCAATTTTAATCTTAATCTCGATCTCAATCTTAATCCTAATCATAATTTTAATCTTAATCTTAATATTTTTCTTGCTTTTAATCTTAATTTCAATCCTAATTTCAATCTTGATCTTAATTCCAATCTCAAACTTAATCTCAATCCCAGTCTTAATTTTAATTTTAACCTAAACCTTAATCCTAATCATAATCTTAATCTTAATCCTAATTTTGATCTTGATCTTGATCTTGATCTTAATTTCAATATCAATCTTAATCTCAATATCAATCTTAATCTCAATCTCAATCTTAATCTTAATCCTAACCTTAATCTTAATCATAATCTTAATGTTTATCTTAATCTTGATCTTGATCTTAATCTTAACCTAAGTCTTAATCATAATCATAATCTGTATTCTAATCTCAATCTTAATCTTTACCTTAATCGTAATTTTTATCTTAACCTCAATCTGTATCTCAATCTTAATCTAAATTTTTATATGGCTCTTGATCTTAATCTCATTCTGAATCTTAATCTTAACCTTAATCTTTATCACAATTTTAATATTAATCTTAATCTTATTCTTGCTTTTAATCCTAACTTTGATCTTGACCTTAATTTCAATCTCAAACTTAAACTTAACCTCAGTGTTAATCTCAATATTAACCTTAATCTTAATCATGATCTTAATCTTAATCCTAATTTTTATATTTATCTTGGTCTTAACTTCAATCTCAATCTCAATCTTAATTTTAATCTTCACCTTAACCTTAATCTTAATCATAATTTTAATGTTAATATTAATCTTGATCTTAATCTTAACAAAGAAGAAAATTGTCATTTCAAAAAAGTCGAGTTTTAACCAACCTTATGCAAATCTTTGGCGGCTTTTCAGTTTCCATATCTTCTGTTATTTTCGATATAGTGAATATGTCATTGGAGATATTCGTGCTTTGTGTGGCATTGCTTGTGTCACCAGAGCTGCCATTGATTACTGCCGGTATTGTTACAATGGTGCGGCTACTACCGTTACGTTCTTTCATGGCCATTCGGCCACCACTGGAGAGTGAAGTGTGACGATTATTAACGGACTATAAGTATAAAAATTTGTCTTTAATCTGGTACTCACATTTTCATTTCAGAAATCCCACTCACCGTATTATTATTCGTTTTGCCACGTATATTGAATACCCCATAGACCAATGGATTCATACACGAATTCGTGCAA